GGTTGATATTAACAATGCATTTTTGAATGGTGAATTAGCTGAAAATGTGTATATGGTACAACCAGAAGGCTTTGTGGATTCTGCCAGTCCTCATCATGTATGCAGATTAAAAAAGGCACTCTATGGGTTAAAGCAGGCCTTAAGAGCTTGGTTTGACAAGCTTAAAACAACATTTCTAGATTGGGGTTTTGTACATTTAGTGGCTGATCCAAGTTTGTTTATTTATCAACATCAAGAGCAAATCATGTATGTTTTAGTCTATATGGATGATATAATCTTGACAGGGAATACTCCTCAGTTGATTTAAGAAACTGTACAGAAGCTCAACACTCAATTTGCCATTGAAGATTCTTGGATCTTTAAAGTATTTTTTAGGCTTTGAAGTCACACGAAATGCATCTGGCTTATACATGAATCAAGAAAAGTATGCAAAGGACATTCTAATCAAAACCAAAATGATTGATTGCAAACCTTGTTCTACACCAATGGTAGTGGGCACTAAACTGATCCCAGATCACAGTGAATTATTTGATAATCTTGCACTTTACAGGAGTACCATTGGAGCCTTACAATACCTTGTGCTGTCCAGACTAGACATTGCCTATTCTGTCAATAAACTGAGTCAGTTTTTAAAGGCTCCAACATAGCTACATTGGCAGGCTTGTAAGAGGCTACTCAGATATATTAAACGGACTTTTAATTATGGAGTTCATTTCACCAAGAGTCATCGGTTTCATCTAGAGTGTTTTATTGATGTCAACTGGGCCAGCAGCCTGTATGACAGAAGATCAACAAGTGTATGTTGTGTGTTCCTTGGTTCCAACTTAATTCAGTAGCACTCTAGAAAACAAAAAGTTGTTGTTCTGTCATCTACTAAAGCAGAGTATAGAGCCCTTGCACAAGGTTCAACTGAGCTTGCCTGGTTTTACAGTCTGTTCTCTGAAATAGGATTACAACTTACTGATATTCCTGTCATTTGGTGTGACAACTAAAGTGCTGGATCCTTGGCCTCTAATCTTGTCTTTCATGGAAGGACAAAACACAATGAGCTTGATGCTCATTATGTGAGAAACCAGGTGACTAAAAACAAACTAAAAGTTCAATATGTTCCTATTAAATTTCAGAAAGCAGATGTTCTTACTAAAACATTGCTAGCCTCTAAGTTTGCAACATTTTGAGATAAGCTCAATATAAGATCTCCTCCATCAATGTAACAAGCTGCAAAGTTTCTATTGCTTTTAAGGTGTTGAAGTTGTTTCAGAGTTTTTGTTCAAGATTTACTGATGAATCTGAAGTCTGAATCTATCTGCTCTCTGAATGCTCTTGTGTCTACTCTCTGAATGTTCCACTGGTGAATCTGTTCTTTGAATGCATCTGTTCTCTGAATGCTCTTATGTCTACTCTCTAAATGCTCCACTGGTGAATCTATTCTCTGCTTTCTGAATGCTTTTGCATCTACTCTCTGAATGCTCTTGTATAGTGAATCTTCCGTTACAGAAAGATGTTTGAATTAGTTGTTAAATCAACAAGTTTATGGAGGCTTGGTTTAAAGGAGGATGTTAGGATTAGTTCCTCAAATTGTCTATGTTTGTGAAAGTTTGGTTTAACGGAGAATGTTAGGATTAGTTTCCCAAATAGTTCACTATGCTTTTAGCAACTGGCAAGTAGCTTTAGTCTAGCCTTGATAATGAGCAACTTGACTCACATGTATTGTGCTCATGCTATATATCAGAGCTTGTAACTAATTTCTGTAACAGTTTTTATCAATACAGAAAAAGCTTAGTGTTCTTCTCTTTTCTTGTTTCTTTGTTTCTCTCAAATCCTATCTTCAACTATAAATGAGATAAAATACTTTGCACCTCCAAAAGATATAACAAGAGCCTCCCATAAGTTAAAATATATCAAATCCAAAACATCCTTACTTTTAGTGATGGATGAAGGGAAACTAGCTCTATGATGTTTACCATAGAGACAATGTTACGTTCACAAAAATCTAAATTAATAGATTTTAAACCAGGTAGTAATTCTGTCAAGAAGTACCTTCAGTCATTGCTTGCTTGTGTGTCCCAAACCTCTACTTCAGATTAATGCCGAATTCATCATATCATTAACAACAATAGCTTTGCCTATCACAGTCTCTCATATCAATCGATAAAACCATCTACTAACTCTCCCTTTGCGACCACTGGTCATCCTTTAACTATTCTCAATTTATTCTTTCNCAGATTAATGCCGAATTTGTCACAGCATTAACAACAATAGCTTTGCTAATCACAACCTCTCATATGAATCGATAAAACCACCTGCTAACTCTCCCTTTGCAACCACTGGTGATCCTTTAAAGATCCTCAATTTATTCTTTCCTCTAGAAAATTTATATCCATTTTCATCGAACTTTCCAATGACAAAAGACTCTTCCAAAGAGTTGGCATATGGCGTACACCAAAAATAGTATGCATGAAACCATTAAATATAGTAATTCGAATATCTTCAACTCCCACTATTTCGCGTGTTGTTATCAACCATGTAAGTAGTATCCCCACATCACTTATAGGTCTAGAACCAATCTCTATGTATTGTCATATGAAATGAAGCAACTGAATCTAACACTAATTGATATTCTATAACTTGTTGCGAATTTATTGACACCACCTCTCCATATTTATATGAATCTTTAACTTCAACAATATTCACCTAGGAACTATTTGAATTTGATGCTAGTAGATCAGATTGGGATTATCTTGTTTTTTTTTTTTTTTTCAATCTATAATATTTCCTCAGCTTGGCCCCTCCTTCTACAGTTCTAACACTTCCCTTTGCTTTTGCCTTTAGACTTTGATCTAGACTGATATCTACTTTCATATGCTCTTTTTGTAGGTTTACCTTGCGTGACATTGCATCATTTGATGAATCGCCTTCTGGTTTCCCAATGCAGCTCTTCAATGAGTAACAAAGTTTCTACCGATTCATAAGTGAGATCAACATCTTTATTGATGTTCATGACTAAGGTATCCCATGAATCAGACACAGAACAAAGAGACAGAGTAGCTTTTTCTTTTTCATCAATCTTCACTCAATAGCTATTAATTCGCAAATTAGGGCGTTGAAGTCATTCAAGTGTTGTTGCAAAGAGGACTCATCCCCTATCTTTAGGTTGTATAGTTGATTTGTAAAAATATCCTATTTGATGTAGACTTTCTTTCGTATATTGTTTGCAATTTCTCCCATAGGCCTTTTGCTATAGTTTCTTCAAATACGTTGATTGAAGTTACTTGATCCAGGGCAACATAAATAACTGCCATGGCTAACCTCTCTTTCTCCTTGAATTTTTCATCAAACACCTCATATGGCTTCAAGTGTTGTCGCAAAGAGGACTTCTACTCCATCCTTAGGTTGTATAGTTGCTTTTGTAGAAAGATCTTATTTAACATAGACTTGCCTTATTGTTTGCAATTTGTCCCATAAGCCTTTTGCCGTAGTTTCTTCAAATACGTTGAATAAAACTACCTCATCCAATTCAACATAAATATATTTCATGGCCAACTCATCTTTCTCCTTGAATTTTTCATTAGACATCTCCTCTGGCTTCGCTTCCATTTCTTTTAGAGCAATTGTGAATCTATCTTTCACAAGGGTTGCTCGCATCTTCAACTTCCATAATTCGAATTTAGAACCGTTGAATCTTGGCACCTCAAATTTGGTGGAACTGGATGCCATCTTTAATTATAAACATTAAAACATTGGTCTTTAGTTTTGAAAATTTCTACCTAGGTTTTGATACCAATTGTTACAGAATATTTGGTCAAACACACAACCAATAGGTTTAATTAGAACACTCAAGGAAGGAACATCAAAGAAGAAATAGAGAAGAAAAGAGAAAACACACAAGATTTACGTGGTTCGGTAATATGCCTCCATCCATGGGCACAATAAAAAATATTTACTTCACAAGAACAAGAGACAAATACAATATTAAGGATCTCTCTCTACTTAGGAGCTACCCAAAACCTCTTAACCAAGTCTTACAAAAGACTCAATACATCACATGTTTATAATACTCTAATCTTAAGATTTTAGGAACCCCAAGTCCTCAAGGAAAAAGAATTCTAAATAAATGTGTATACATAAAAGAAATAAATTTAATGTAAATAGGATAATAGTTCAACCTAATCCTAGGTGAAAAGAATCCTAAAAAACAAGGATTCACACCCTATTAAAAGTTAATATCCCATTAGGGAAAGACTTCTAATCCAACAAACTATGATAGGAACTTGTGGAATGATATAATGCTAATATGTTAATCGAATGCTTCGAATTTGAAAAAGAGACATTATAGATATTGTTACAGTAATCTAAATTTTTGTTTAAAAAAGAATATTTTGGAATCATTTTGTTGAAAAAAGCTTGATATCTCAATACTTTATTAGATCATGCAGAGAAGTCATATGTTAGTCGCACCTTATATATATTGTCAAACATAATTTCTTAAGCTATGTTACAAACCACTAGGTCTTGGGAACATTAGTGAGGTTTACTTCCTTTTTGTTTATTTATTTATTTAATCAAGTCCATATATAAAGGGTTCATTCTATATGCTTACATTTTCGTTTTCATATTGATATATATAAACATATTCAAACGAATCTTAATAAATTACACTAGGAAAAAGAAAAAAGAAAAATAGTTATTATCATTGTCACGGGATAATTACAAATGATTGAGTGTCGCCATTGGAGCATATCCGATTAAATAGATGAGAGAAAATAAATTTAAAACTGATATAAAGTCATTGATTTGTGATATAAATGATGAAGTACTCGCATGTGGTATAAAAATGTAAAATTTACAAAATACACTTGTACAGTAAAATACAATGGCTAAACCCCACAAAAATTCTTTATTCTTTAGTTCCAACGAATTATAGATTAATTAAGAACACATGATATACCATCTTCTATTTTTTATTTTACCACATCGACAACAAACTCTTTTTGCAGATTCTAATGAGGAGGAGTCTTCTTAGTTAGATACTTCCCAACGGTTTCTGCAAGTGTCTCCACTAGCTTGGTGTTGGCTAGAGAAGAAAGATTTGCTAACTTCTCATCAAGCTCATACTTTATTGTTGATCTTATAATACTTGATGTATAATTTTTCTCAATAATTTTGTATTGAGTTATATTACGCTTGAAGCCCAGTGCTATAAATCCTCCTTCAATGGTTTCCGTTTCCTTCACACGCTTCTTATTATCAACCTTTGTAATAATTTCCTTCATATAACCAACTCCAGGAGTTCCTGAAACAAAAACGAAACAGAAATATTCAATATTTAATATTCAGCAACTCAAATTAAATGTTTGATAAATAATATGAATTAATTTTATTACCTGGTGGAAATGTAACGTTTAGAAGTGTGCCAACATGCCCACCACCTTCAAGGACTTTTACAATTCAAAGCACATTTGGTAGAAATGTATTTATAATTGTGAGGACTTGAAGAGTGCCGTAGACATCCCACACTGAACAAGCCGATGCAGCCACCACTGTGTTCGTTGCAACAAGGCCGTGCATTTTGATGTTAAGAACTTTGTTTTTCGGTGGATTGTTTCATCGTTGTTCTAGGTATTTATAATGGTTTATTTGAAGAAGAGTCAATAAATCTAAATGGGAGAGAGCCAACGTTTACCAATAACATCCGGTAGTGCGTAACCTGTATCAAAATATTCATCTGATTTTTTAAGTTAAAAAATCAATTCATAATTTTAAATATCATTATCGAGTAAAGTCAACCATGAATTGAACTGTAGACCTTTGACTCTTACCTGTCATGTTCCCATAATCTAAAATATTCTTAACAGCTCAACCATGAATTTATCCTTCAATATATATAAATTTACAATACTATGACAACCCAATTATTTGTTTTTAATTACTATAAATAATTACTCAAAGAATGCGATTCTCATTAAAATCGAATCTCGTATTCTCATTAGCAAACTGCGATTTAATTTATCAATAATTTTTTAAATATGTAATCAAACTAAAATTCATATAGTCATAATAATATCACATAATAGTTATCCTCGCTTATTAGTATAATGGGGTATATTTGTAATCTTTCAAAATATCATATGGGGTGTATTTTGTAAAGATCAAAACCAGGAAGTTAAAACTCTACGTTTTGATACTCATTAACCAAGTATAAACTGCTTCCTTCTTGTAATGATTTTCAGTTAAGGAAATACAGAGTTTTTTCAGCTCTTCTTTGTTTTTCTTGATTTTTGCTTCTTCTTCAAAGTCATTCATGGTATCAGAGCCCTAGACCAACGTCAAGGTGCCCCTTTGATCCTTAATCTCTCAAATTTTGCTTCTTGAACAATGGAAATGGAGAACAACTTCACCATTTCAAACAATTTCAATCTACCTCCCACTCTGCCACCGATCTCAATCAAGTTGTAGGAGAAGAATTACACTTTCTGGAGATCGTTAATTCTTCCAGCTTTGACCTCCCATGGTCTTGATGGCTTTATAACTGGCGAAAAAGCATGTCCTTCGCTGTTCTTAGTTGACAAGGAAGAAGGTTTTGATAAATCAGTCAAGCGACCAAACCCTAGCTACTTTACCTGGAAAAAGGTCAATCAATTCCTGGTTAGTTGGCTCTTATCATCTATTTTTGAAAATATGTTTCGTCATGTTGCTAAATGTGGTATGTCCTATGAGATTTGGAATCTGTTAGAGTTGCATTTTCAGTTGGTATCTAAGGCTAGAACTTTACATTTGCGCAATATGCTTCAAAGTACTAAGAAAGATTCTACTAGTATAAGTGAATATGTACTTAAGATGAAGGAACTAGGTGATGAATTGACTTCGAGTGGTGTTCATATAAGTGATGAAGAATTGTTATTGTACATTCTGGATGGGTTGGGGCCTGAATATGATGCAGTTGTAGCTAATCTTGTTCATACCAGTAGCCAAACCACTTTGCAAGAAGCTCAGTTTCTACTACACAAGCATGGAATTAGATTGGAAAAACAGAACAACTGTCTTACAAACTTTCATGATCAGCTAGCCTCAACTTTAATAGCTGCTAAATAGGTCCCCAATGAGCCTGTTTTAACCTCTCCAAATGTCCATATGAACACTGACACAAAGGTTTTTAATCCTTAACAGTTGGCTAGTTTTCCATTACAAAATCATACTCTTCCTGCCTCATAACACTAGACCTTTAACCCTCCACAAGACCAGACCTTTAACCCTCCACAACATCAAACTTTCCCTATTCCACAACATTAGACCTTTCACCCTCAACAAAACTTTGGTATTCCTCAGCACTTTAGTACAACGCCAATCAAAGCAGTTTTGGACCTGTTTTCAATCAATCCTATCAGCAGCCCCATACAGATGCTTCACAGTTTTTGTCCTCAGCAAATGTTATGTTTAATCCTCAAGGAGTGCGAGGTTGTGGCAGGGGAAGAGGCTATTATCGATCAAGACTCTTCTGTTAGGTTTGCGGCAAAGGAGGGCATACTGCCCTTCAATGCTATCACAGGTTTGATCATGGATTTCAGGGGTTTGCTAATACTAGATTCTCTAATCAACTAACCTCACAGGGATTTCCTCAAAATTGAATTACTGATTCAGCTCAAGCAGCTCAAGCTTTGCTGACCAACATTATGACAGGACAAACTGGACTAAATTCAGTTTCAGCTTTTGTTCCTTCCAATCCTGTTTATCTTGGACAAGTTGATTCCACTCATCCTCAACATAACATGGTTCATTCTCAGCACAACATGACTAGTCCTGGTGGTCCTAAAAATTTTCACTAGAGTGTTCCTCTCTACCACGGTTTTCCTGGAAGTTCTACCTCAAACTCTAGCTCAAGTTCTTTTCCAGGGGGTGGATACTCTTTTACTATTTCTCCAGGAGCACATTCTTCCTCAACTGTACCAGTTGCAACCCCTCAAGTGGTCAATGATCAGACTTGGTATGTTGACTCAGGAGCCACAAATCACATGACTGCTGATGCAACCAATTTAGTTGTTAAGGACAACTATCAGGGAGGATCCATTGTTCAGGTTGGGAATGGACAGAATGTGCCTGTTACTCACATTGGTGAGTCTTTATTGCCTTCCACCACTAGTCCTAGGTTATTACATCTTAAGAAAATGTTGTGTGTTCCCCATATTGCAAAAAATTTACTAAGCATTTCTCAAATTACTAGAGATAATGATGTGATAGTGGAATTTCATTGTGACCATTGTCTTATAAAGGATAAAGTCTCTAAGGTGGTGCTATTCCAAGGGTTCTTAAAGGATGGATTATATCAATTACAAGTTTCTCTCCCAACATTTGGCACAGCTTTCATATCATCTGCAACCCCACAACCGGTCTCTGTACTTGTTGGATTTGCTGTCTCCTGGGACATTCCAACATCAGTCCCCTATTCGGCTACTGTCTCTTCTAGTGCAAGTAGTGCTGCAATAAACAATAGTGTCTGTTCTGGAGCTAACAATAGTGATAGTTCTGAAGTCAGTAATGTTTTAGGTTCCTGTATTCTTGCAAATAAGTCTGATGTAAGGAGCTAGCTTACTAGTCTGTGGCATGCTAGGTTGGGTCACCCAAATGAAAAGAATTTGAGGCTTGTAATGGATAGAGTCAATGTAGCTGGATCTTTTGGAAATAAAATGTCTTTTTGTGAAGCTTGCCATTTTGGTAAAATGCAACAAGCCACTTTTCCTCTGTCCACATCCAACACTAATGGCCCTCTTGAATTGGTTTATTCAGACTTGTAGAGTCCTGCACCAGAATGTTCCTCTAAAGGTTTTAAATATTACACGCTTTTTGTGGATGATTTTACTAGATACATGTGGATCTATCCCTTGAAATTAAAATCTGAAGCTTTTACTATGTTCAAATTGTTTCACAGTTTGGTTGAAAGACAAATTGAGGTTAAATTGAAGTGTTTGCATACTAACTAGGGTGGGGAATTCCGATCTTTTACCAAGTATTTACAAAAGCAAGGAATCGTGTTTAGACACCCTTGTCCTTATCTCCATCAACAAAATGGAAGGGTAGAAAGAAAACATCGAATTGTCACTGAGTTTGGCCTAACTCTCCTGGCTCATGCTGCCATGCCCCTCTGTTTTTGGTGGCAAGCTTTTAGTGCAGTTGTGTTTATAATCAATAGGTTACTCTCATCGGTTCTTCAGAATATTTCTCCTTTCCAGAAGCTATGCCATAAAGAACCTACCTACAATGATTTTAGAGTTTTGGGTGCTATTGTTATCCATTCATTAGGCTCTACCAACAACACAAGTTTTCCTCTCACACTGAAGCTTATGTCTTTCTAGGATATAGCACTTCTCACAAAGGGTTCAAGTGCCTGTCTTCTTCAGGGAAACTATACATCGTTAAACAAGCCAAGTTTAATGAATTTTCCTTTCCTTTCAAACATGATTTTCAGTGTCATTTGATCAAAAAGGTTGAACTTGCAGGGCAGATTTTCACACCTCAATCAGGCTACTTTCCTTGGATATTGCCAAAGTGTGTGGATGGTGATGTCACAGCTAGGATACCGGCTACTGAGATACCAGTTGGGTGTGTGGATGGTGATTTCTTTGTTAGTGCAAACTTACCAGTAGAAGCTGCTGCAATTACTGCTCACTTAACTACTAATAATGATCCCCTAGCTACTGGTTTATCACCTACTAATAATGAGTGCAGTTCAGCATATCCAACCACAATATCTACACATGAGTATGTGATAGCCCCAAGAACAGAATCTGGTCCAATTTATGCTCCAACTGGTAACTCTTCTCAAGGTATACAATTAGAAGTTGTCTTGCCTGTCAGCAAACCACAGTCTGGTCCAGTTCTTATGCCCATGAATAATGTTCCTTCCATTCTTGGAGTATCTTCTACTAATCATGGTTTCAGCTTGACTGATTCAACTACAAAGGTTGCACATGAGTCTGTCACATTTCTAGGTTTAGAATCTGGTTCAGTTTCAATACCACATGGTAACTCCTCCCAAGATATACAACTAGAGGTTGTCTTACCTTTCACCAGATCCTAACATTCATCTATAAGTGGAAACTATCGTCCTATGATCACCCGGTCTAAGCACACAGCAAGACAAGCACTATTCTCAACATGCCACATTCTAGCTGAACCAAAGACTTCCTCTGAAGCACTAAAAATTCCAGAATGGAAAACTGCCATGACTGATGAGTTCCAAGCTCTCTTGAGAAATAAAACTTGGGATTTAGTTCCTTATTCTCCATACATGCACATAGTAGGCTGCAAGTGGGTATTCAAAACTAAACTAAAGTCAGATGGAACGTTACAAAAGTACAAAGCAAGGTTGGTAGCCTAGGGTTTTCAACAAACCTATAATAGCTGCTTTGTGCTAGGGTACTCATAGAACAATAGTAAGTAATAGCAAAAGTAAATGGGCCCACAAATTTTCTTTATTACATATAAACATTCTTTATACAAAATAAAACTATCATTTACAAAATGATATTAAAACAGCGGACAGTGTAGCTATTGCTCCTCGCTTGTCGACGCCCGTCCAACCGCGTTCTCACTTAGATCCTGCAATCACAAAGAAAACAACGAGGTGAGCACAAAATAATGCTCAGTAAGTAAATACTCTACGTCTGTCCCCGTTACTCCTTTCTTTTAATTCTTTCCTCACATTTTTCTCATCTCATTTATTTTCTCTTTCACACAGTTCTCTCACTTAATTTCTGCTATATATGTCACGACCTCATCTTACCGGAGACACGGCCGGGTGGAGTTCACACAGCACCAACCCACTTTTCGTG